TTATTCCTTGCCCTTGTCAACAGACACCTGCACACTTCTGTAGATGCAAAAGCCAGAGGGCCTAGTAGACAGGCTTTCTAAATTTCACTCTTGCTTCTACTGCTTGATCTTGCTCTTACTGTGGGGAAAGTAAGTCAAACAGCGAATTCTGATTTGCGAGTTTTTAATAAAGAGGTGAAGGTACATGGTTTTATTGGAACATAGCAACTCTGCCTTTGTTTTCATTCACACAGCATTTATTTGAGGTACATCTTATAGGCCCAACAGTGTGTTGTGGTAGTGTTATATTTTACAAAGAAAAAAAAAAAGAAGAAGAAGAAAGAAAGAAAGAAAGAAAATGTTAGTGTCGTAAAACTCTTCTTGCACTTAGCATGGCATCCACTTATCAACAGAAAGGCTATGCTGATTCATTTCTGTGTGTGTGTGTGTTTGCTTGGACACATGGTCCTGAGCCGAGGCTGCTCAACACCAGCAAGATAAAATTCTTTACAATTTCATCTTAACTCTAACCGAATGTACCCATCAAGAATAAATCTTCAAATTCTGACTGAAGGTTTGAAGAACTGATAGCTAGAGAAGGGTTAGGAATTTTCAAAGAGCACTTAGCATTACAGCTTCTGGTTGCTGTCTACTTCCTTTTTAACTTGATTTGCCATGATCATACTTTTATCATAAGAATATTGCCATTTTCACACTCAAATTGCCTGCATTTGCTTACCAGTTTTGCCATTTCGTGGATGTGACGAGTTTCTTAAACTCTGATTCTCAATTGTCTAATATCTATAATGCTGATAACAGTAATATCTACCTCACAGAGTGTGCAATGAATAGGAAGTGGATTAAAATGTAATTCAATTTTTAAAAATTTTTTCTATGTTAAAATATAATTCAATTTTTTAATTACATTTTTGCGGTTTAGTCTTTCCTCATGCTCCTAAACAGGATTAAGATGAAAGGATCCTCTGCTTTTCTAGTGCTTCCAGGCTGCTGAAGTCCAGCTGTTCAAGCCTCTGAGATAAACCAGATACACTCAATGTATTTGTTTTTTATGGAGTGAAGTCTCTCAGTAAATTCTTCTTTATCTTCAAATTTGGTGTCAAATTTAGTATATCTTAATGTTTTCAGAAAAGAAACATTTTAAAATCTTTTTGTGCACATCTAGTTTACTTATTTTAAAAAACTGAATTAAGAAAATTAAAGACAAATTAAGTGCTCTTGTCATTTGCTAATGCCATTAATGAAATGTACTGAAATAATTGCTTTCTTAATTCTAACAGCAGAGATTTGTCCATCCCTTTAAAGCGTTAGGTAACATAACGCAAAAAAAATTGACTGGCTTAAAACTAACAAGTTTCCCTGACTTGACGAGATATTTGCCTTAGGAACTGAGATGATATTAATAGTCTTCGAAAAGCAACCGTTCTTATTTTCAAATATTTGCCTCCTTATGGATCTCGTCTCTATACTACTTCTAGTTTTGAAGAAAAAAATAATTTGAATTGACATGTAGTATGATAAGATGCTAACTACAACTTCGGCCAGTCACACATTAAAAGAAATGGAAGCATGAGTGTGTTAAGATTAAAGATTTTGTACATATATGTACATACAAAGGCGAGAAAATGAAAATATTTCCCCAAATCACATCATCATGATGTTGTATGATGAGATTCCTGGAGTCCTGGATATATTATCCTCATTACTTCATATCTTACTGCTGCAGACACCCTAGAAGTACCACCATCTGTATATTGATTTTTTTTACATTTTATTTTTATGATTATTCATGTTTGCAGTACATAATGATTCCATTCATCTTAGGGAATTGGTAATGTGTGTAACGCGTCTTAATTCTTTTTTTCAGCTTCTTACCCTGTCTTCCCCTCCCCATCCCTCCATCTCTTGGTTGCCTTAACCTTTTGCAAAAGAGCTATCTCAGTATTTCCTATGATCTATCTCTCTTTTTTTGCTTTTTAATTTAATTACATTTTTGGGTTTCTCATGTAAGAGAAACCATGTGATATTTAAGCATGTGTAACTGATTGATTTCATTTAACACTGTGTTGTCAAGGCACATCTATTTTCCTACAAAAGACTGAAATTTATAAATTTCTTTAAAATAACTGCAATTTACTTTTTCATTGTGTAATTCTTACATGTTTTGCATATGCATCCCCACTTGGTAGTTACAGTATCCTGAAGAAACAGAAAATGTATAATCCATGTCTTATTGATCTTTCTGTGATATCTGGTGTACACACTTGTTAACTGATTGACTAGAATATAAAATTAAAGAGAGAGGTCTATGTACCAGAGAGTATTTCTCATATTGAAGTAATACACAAGTGGAACATAAGCCACAACTGAAATAAATGATGGGAAAGTATCAAAATCAGTCAATGAAAACATGAGGTTGGGCTAGAGGGGTATGGGGAGTGAAAGCATAAAAGAACTGCACTTAAGAAAAAAAGAACCAAGATAGTTTTCAAGATTCGTTCACAAAAATGTAGTCATTTGATTATATACATAAAATATTCCAAATAAATTGATGTATGAGTACATGCAATCAAAAAAATACTTTCACCCAGTCACTTGGTTTGTTGAAAAATTTAAGCAACAATATTTGCATAACATACTGGCTATATAGTGGACAATGAGATTATTTGCTTATTTTGATACTAAAATGTGTTTAACGTACTTAACCCATGTTCAGAGAATTATTTCTGAATGAGAAAAATATGGGGTGAAATGTTAATGGGGTAAAATGTTAATACTACAACTCTTATCAGAGTCTGTGTTTATGAAGAGGGTTTTATTCATGCATGCAGTTTTGTCTTAAAATCTTAATACTTTGTATTTTATTGTTTATAATGTTTTGCTTATTCTTAGGAAATACATAATTACATTATTTAAATAAATATAGTATAAATGGTGGCTAAAATAACATGCTCTCCTAAACCTACTTGTTGTGGCCTGTATTAAGAAATACATCATTTTGATGACTCTTTCCTACACCTGAAAAAGTAAATTAAGTTACTTAAAATACATGCAGTTTGAAAGTACACTCAATAGCACTAGCAATAATATCAACATTAAGCAGAAGGAACAAATCTTGTAAATGGACCATGGAAAAGAAGTACATGAACTTGAAGAAAAAGTCCATGCAACGTTCTATTCAAAATGGTGAAGTAGGAGTGTTCATACCCTGCTTTCTAAAATCACATCACAAAATTAAGCTCATGAAGAAATAAAAGCACCGATTAACATGTGACAAAACTAAGAGAAAGTGAGCTCTCCAGGTCTCAGAACACTGAGCAGTGGTAAGATATGTCAGAACAAAAAAGCTAAAACCCTAGTGCTTGCCAAGCAGATGGCGTTGGGCAGCAAGCATCTTGCATTCTGGAGAATTCCAGAAAGGCTTTTTGAATTGAAATAATTACTTCAGAACAAGGAGGTAGAAATGGATACCTCAGAAGTATCCATAATAACACGTTAGAGTCTTAACTTTCTGTCTCCATTCTTGCCTGCATCCAAACCGTGTGGGAGACACAAAATATATGCTCTGGATAAACTGCATCAGCGAGGCCCAGGATTGGAGGTGCCAGGTAAAGGACTTTTTGGAGGGAAATAGGGAATTTCAAAGCACAAGGAAAGAATGCTGAACCCATCCTGAGACAAAAAATTCTTGGATAGTCACAGTTTAGAGCCCTCATCTGATAAAAAGATAGATTAGCTGATTAGTCTACTATTTCCTGCTTAGTCTACTATTAGATTAATTTTCAGTGTAGATATTATTTGTGATAATGCTGCATCATGCATTAATATGTAAAAAAACCTTTAAATCTTATGGCTCAACAAAATAGAGGTGGTTGTCTCACTCAAATCAAGTCCAGTAGGGTGGGCTGCTTTCTCCTGTTTTATAGTTATGCCTTATGGAGTTTGTGGTCTCTAAAGTTCTCAGGGCAGGATTTGAGGTAAAAGAAGGAACACACAGGTGTTTAACTGTTTCAGTCCAAAAGTGACACACTCTGAGTCCATTGTTCAATATCATTCCAATGGGAGATGTCAGAGAACACATGGAATATCATGTAGCTACTAACTTCCCTACAACCATATAAATTTATGTCCTTGTTTTTTGAAAAACATTTCACTTTATTCCTGTGCATCAGCCATAGATTTTTGTTTGTTTTACTGAACAATTAAAGCTCACTTTAAATTCCCAAAACTAACACCTATTGCTTGCTTATAAGATCTAGCACTGACTGACCAAAAAATACAGAGATACCTATAATCCATACTCTAGTCTCTGGTCTCAAGGTTATTCTTCTACTTAATCTCTTAATTCACATGGGCTCTGAAATAATTTCCAGTTCATTCTCTCTTAATGTTTATATTGGTGGGTGTAACAGGACCAGCTAATCAAAGATTGTGTAATAAGTTACTGATTTATAATCAGCAGGATCTATGTCTCTCACAAATGTTTAATTTCAGATATTTCTCCTATCTTTTGAAAACTACTCCCCATTTCCCTTTTAACTAAAATAATTGTTTAGAATATTTTTCTTGCTAACAGTAACACTTAAGAATCTCTAATGTGCTCTATAAATAAGTAACTGCAAATTCATCTATTTCTCAGTGTTACCTCCTGGTTTATTTCTGATGTTCTCTGAAGCAGATTTATAAATTAATATGAATATGAAATGGTCTGTAGAAAGTTTCATGATATTATCACTTCAAAGCAATTATCCAAGAAGAGTTTTTATGTCTGAGTCAGTCTTGCACATGAATCTTATATACTTTTTGAAAGGAAATAATTTTTCTCATTTAAAAAGATGTATTTATTCTTGGAAATACATACTATTATATCGGTTTTACTTAATACTCTAAATCCATAGCTTGATTTGCCTGTACCAGTGGAAAAATCTCACTTTTAGATTTAGATTCTGAGAGCATTAATGAATTTTCTGTAATGTTTGGTTTCCTCATGTTTTGTCTTTCAGAGCACTCGAGTGGCCTTGGACCATCTGGAGTCTGTACCTGAGAAACTGAGCATACTGGAAGATTTCAAAGACTTTCGAGTGAGAAAAAGTTGGCTTGTCTCTTTCAGTATGTTTACCTGAATGAGAGGAGTTGACATCCTCCTGATGTGCCGAGAAAATTGTAGGAGGGGGAGAAGGACCGAAAAACATTGGGGACTTTTAACATTACATGCTCTCGGAGTTTGTTGACACTTGTGAAAGCAGGACTAAAAACAAAACTTAAGCACTGGCAAACTCTTAATCCTAGCACTAGAAGTTCAGAAGTTCTTTTGTCCCATTCAAGCTGTAATAATAATTTAGAAAAACCTGATGATTAAAAGTAGTTACCCTTTACATTGACAATAGATAACTTTTGGTGAGCAAAATTTTAACTTGTGAATTATTTTCTTTTTTACAAACTGCTGTTTTAGAGCTAGAATAGTTTATAGGTTATCCCTATACTCTGATTTCATCAATTCAAACCTGCATAGAGTTTTAAATACCGTATCCCATGCCGTTTATTGCTAGAACTCTACCCACAAAACATTTCATTATCCAACCAATTAACTGCATGGTGGATTTACCTACTGCAAATGTATTAAGTTCCTCACAGAAGAGAGATGCAAGCAAATAATCTTGCCCTGCCATCCAGTCCTACCAGAAGAGGCCCTGCCCAGGGAACATCTTCACAATCTCCTTAGAAATGCAAGTGTACATTTTTAGCAATTCATACTTTATGTGGCAGGATCAGTATAGTTAATATGACACATATAAATACATGCCCAAAGCTAACAATGGTGAGAGTTTCCCTTTGGAAACCATCTAACCTCTTATTTCATATTGACCTTAAAAAACAGCTGACTGCAGTTCTGTTTAAATCTGACATGTTATTTAGCGTTCCATGGGAAAGAAATATAGCCAAATTGTGCCGTATGGATTTATTGGAAGCCCTGACTTCATGTGGTTCTCAAAGTGAACATTGTTTTAAAATTACCTTACACTAAGTATTTTTTTTGTAATGTGGAAATTAAACAGTTTTAAGTGAGATTCAGCATTAAGCTGACACATCCTGAAATCTAGACTGGTACAAATAGGACAAAATCACATGTTCCTAGTATATTTCTAAAGTTCTGATGCTCTCTTGTGATTTGATTATATTTTACAGTTTAAATCCCAAAGAATTACGATACCACCATCCAAGACCATATGGTTTCCATTACCCTTATAGAATCTAGTATGCATAGCGGGGAAACCCATATCCTATCTCCTGTTTGCTTTTTAGTAACATAAGTCATCTAAATAAAGGAAGGACAGGAAAGATGGAGTATTGAAACACGTGGCACTTGTTGCTGAGAAGCAGGTGTCTTGTCTATACCAGCATAAAAGACAGAACTTAACCTCCAGTGACAGCATACTTTTCCCCAGGGGTCCTCACTGAACTCAGTGTTTAGAAGTACAATTCAAAAATTGCATTCTTTACTACTGCTAGAAGGTTTATCATTACTTTTATCCTAGATAATTGTCAAGTAGTTAATTATCTACAAGTCTAGTTATGTATGCAAATGTTGTAGACATATATAATTATCTACAATTCTAGCATATATATATATATATATGTATATCGATGTGGAAATGCCTTTACAGTAAAATTTTAATTGTTTTTGTTTTCAAAATTCAGAACTATACCTTCAAATATATTAAAGTGAAGCCTTCAACTTGAAAAGGGAAAGAGATTAATTAGCAAATATGCACATACTATGCAGCAAACAGTAGCTAAGTACATGATAGTTTTTGTACTCTTCAGACATATCCTATATGGATTCTTTTTTCTATTTTACAGATGAGGAAACTGAAGCTTAGAGTATATAAATGAGCTAGAAATGGATCTAATTCTTCCTGCTTTCCCCTGCTACCTCTTGAAACCATTCACTTAAATCATTTTCATGAAAAAAATAGACATAGCCTTAAATGAAAATCTATAAACCCTTGACATTAAGAGAGATGGATTTTATTTTTCAGACATCTAACACTTTATAAAAATTAGCAGGCTGAAAACAAGTGGGCAAAGCCCTGAGTCCTTCTTCCCTTCTCTCACTGCCCCCTTCCTCCTGCAAGCACTGTCCCCCCATACATAAACATCACATATTTGACAAGATGGAAAAGGAATAACATTGGGTTCCAACTCCCCATCTACCACAGATCACCGAGCTCTAGGCAAATCATTCATAACTTCCATGAGTTCATTTTTTGTTTTTCTTATAAAAACGAGAACTTTGGAATTCTAATTCCCACCAGGTTGAACATTCCGTAGGTTTAAGTTTCCTTGCAACTGTGTGAGGCACTAAATGCCATAGGTGATTTTTCTTACCAAAATCAGTTGCCCTTCTTTTTTTTTTCCCTCCCTAATTTCTCCCTAAGTCATGAAAGTAACATCTAAATAAGTTGCTGTACTGATTCTGTGCTATTTCTTCTGCCTCCAAAAATTGAAAGGGAAAAAAGAAAGGCCTTGAGAATTTATGGTTTCTTTATTTCCTGAATTCTTGTGTGCTTATGAAGGCAAATGAGATATCCTTCCATTTAAAAATGAGTGAGTATGACATTAAGTTTGAAAACAGAATGTTAAGACTAAGTGACATGAAAGGGCTTTAGTTTTAAAAGTAGCAAGGAGAATATGTGATGCCAAGTATTATTTCAGAAGACAATATACAACATCCAAAATTGTATGTCATTAATGACCATGTTCGGTTGGTTAACTGTCACTCAAAACTTTTTCCTTTCAACTAATGGATACCAGTCATTTCAGAATGGCATCAGGGCTAGTTGTAAAGAAAATCTAACTAACCAGTATGGGACCCATTTTATGTTACTCTCCACAGTGACTATTTTCTTTTTTTCTTGTGGCTTGTTGCCTGTATATATCTCTAAATGACTATAATCATTTGTTGTCTACATGTCTGTATTTTCTTACACTAACTTGAAGCACTGATTTCTCTTTCACTTACTGTTTTAAACTCTTTTTGTTGTTTTCTCCAGGATTCCCGGTGTTCATCTGAAAGAGTTGATGGGAGTTATTCTAAATACAGAGTTCACAGAGATTCCCTTAAGCAGTGTCAAGATGACAGCAAGTACAGAATCAAAAGCTTGAAGGTAATGTTCTTTATATACGTTTTTAGTTTTGGAGGTTTATCCATATTTAAGCCAACAAACTCTTAAGCAGCCCTCACGGTGTTTGTGTAAGGACCTTGTGAAAGAAAAAGATTTTCCTTGAAGATTGTGCTTATCATTTTTGGTGTGGGATCTAAGCCTTAAGTCTACACCACTGTTACTCTGTGTTGTCTTTGAAAATTGATGCTGCTCGAGATGTCTTGAGCCAGGAAACTTCTGGTCACTTTGATGGTAAAAGTCTTCATGTGGATGACTTCCCTGCTGTTTAAATCCAGCTGCTCTTAGCACTGAAGTCCCCTAAAGGTCAAGTAACACACAGTACTTCGTAAACTATAGTCTTAGCGTTTTCAGTCATTCTTCTCCAGGGTGTGTGAATGCCATGTTATAGTTTAGCTTATGATTTGTATACATGGAATCAATGTACAAAGGCTGGGAGAATTTCACCATATTGACCAAACATATACCATTCCCTAGGCCTTTCCGGTGTCCATCTCTGATTGATGATAAACCCATTTGACTTTAGTTTATAGCCTAGAGCAGTTCCTCAACCTTGGTAGCATCACATTTCACATTTCACACCACTAGTTTGCTGTAGAGCTGTCTAATCATTGTGGGCATGTTTAGCAGTATCACTAGAGTCTACTCACTACCTTCAGTAGTGACATCCCAAGTGGTGACATCTAAAAACATCTCCGGATATCACCGGTTATCTCCTGAAGGACAAAATTGGCCTCTGTCGAAAACATTGACCTAGGTAAACTCCATATATATTCAAATATGCACTCAAAGACAGTCCCCCCACTAAAAAAAAACCAAAAAAACATAAAGTCTTTCTGGCTTTCTTTATATTCTTACAAATTTTAATATATATGAATATTCATTACACTGTATGTATCCAGTAATTATAGCCAAATAGAATTATTTCCACAATGCTTCCTCCCTCCCGGAATGTAATCGGATAGAATGCTTAGTGGATATAAAGACATAACATGTTTATAATTAGCACCAGACATCCTCCTTAGCATGCTTATAATGAGCACTACACATCCTCCATCCCAAACAGAAATGAACAGTTATGTGACATTATTGACAGCTTTCTTAAGAAAATGACTTTTTATGACTTTGTTTCTTTCTACCTTTGTTTTTATAGATGTGTTACTGACTGTAAGAGCTAAACTTGTTGTCTCACATGGCAATTTTAAGTTCCCTAAACCATCCTCCAGCATTACCATTAGATCCCATATGCTCAAGCAAAGATTTATAATTTAGCAAAAAAAAAAAAAGTTTAGGTAACAAGAGCTAATGATAATCCCTAAATATTGATCATGTATTAGAACAAACTATATCAAATCAGCCTTTGTGGGTGTTAAGTGCCTTATGTGTAGTATCATATTTAATCCTCACAGCAACCCTGCCATGTTGGATTCACTATTTTTCTTCATTCACTAGTGCAGAAAGTAAGGTTATAGACTTAGTATGCTTTGTACTTGACTTACATACTATCATAGTATAAATTTAGACCTCTTATCCGTTAGGCTTTGTAGAAGTCACAAATGCGAGATTATATTTCAATATGCAAAAGTTAATTTTCTCCAGAAGTACACAAACACAACACATATTTCTTAGTTCAACAGAGAGCTAGATGCAAGTGAAACATTGAAGACATTATTTTCCAATACAGCTATATTAGTATTAGGTGAGTCGGTGCTGTCTAGCGGGACCCAAATTGCTGTAAATAACTGCAATTTCCATAACAGAAAATGGCAAAGCTATGAATGTTTAACATTTTCAGCAAGTAAACTCATTGCCATTCTGTTTAAAATTACATTTGCAGCTGAAGACAAAAGTCAGGCCTGGCTTGTAAGAGAGGCCAACACTTGGCAGAGTGAGAAGCAAGTTTGAAAGCTTAGCAAATAGACAGTGCAAGTGTAGGAAGGGTCACAAGCTGCTTTATGATGGCATTGTTCCACAGCAATATTACTAAAGCATTTTTACAACTTCTCCATTTCATCGATGACTACGCAGACTTGCTCATAGAATCAGGAGTTTTGGGTTAGATTATTGTAGCAAGACTATGTAGTCATCGATGAAATGGAGAAGTTGTAAAAATGCTTTAGTAATATTGCTGTGGAACAATGCCATCATAAAACATGCTTGTGACCCTTCCTACACATGTACTGTCTATAGTCATTGGAGAGGAAATGTGGAACCACAGTTTTTACTAGTTGTAGATACCAACAGTTATTTGGTGATATTGTTTTCATGAAAATAATTACTCAAAGGGACTGAGAGGTGAAACAGCTCCTAAAGAAGCTTGTGGTTAGGTGAGTTGTAAGAAAGTTAGTTTAGTCATTTCTTGCCCTATAGATAATTAGTATTACTGATCAATCATTGATATACTGGAAAAATGCTACAGAGAAGAGAAATTAGAACTGTGAAGAGAGAAGGTACCTGTTTAGTATAGCATCAGTTTCATAAGACGTTATTTCATCAGTTTATAGAACATTTCATCATTTTCTAGAACAGTTTTAAGAACAATACATTACGGACTTCAGTTCAGTGATTCTACTTAAAACTGTTTGTGTTGCCAGGAAATCAGTTACTATAGAATTCATTTTAATTAAGTAAACATATTTCAGCTATCATCATCCAAAGCACTATTGTACTTGTTGGGTATGGAGGTGGGGGACAGGTGTATAAAGATGCAAAGGCGTGATCTTCAAGGAGGGATAGTTACTATATCATCTTAATTCTAAAAGATAATTCTTGCACAGTTGTTCTACAGTAGAAGTCAGCAAACTGCCTGTAGCCTGAGCCTTGCCTGCGAACTACATTTGTGAATAAAATTGTATTAGACCACAGCCGTACTCATTCACACAGTCTGTGGCTGCCTTTGGATACTACTTTACTGTAAGACTGAGTAGTACAAAGGAAATTGTATGGCTCTTGGAGTCTAAAATTTTACTATCAGACCCTTTTTAGAAAAATTTGTGAACACTTGCTCTACAGAAAAGAATAATTAGAATAATAATCTTTTTTCTTTTACACATTATATAAAATTCTTTTCTTTACTTACCGGTTAAATAAATACTAATAGGGAAATTCTAATAGAGAAAGCCCTGTGCTGGGGATTCAAGAGAAGAGCATAACAAGAGAAAGCTTTACACCATCTGCAATTTACAGCCTTTACAAAAACATTTGAGAACAGGGTAGGTGGAAGAAGGGGCTCCCCTAAACCTCACTGGTACTTAGAGGAAAGAAAGATGTCTACGAGTCTTTCTGAGCAGAGACTTGTGATGGCAAGGCGGGGGAGATATCTTAGCCACATCTCACTTTGGAAGAGGATCTGTATTAGCATTTCAGTTGTAGAGCTCTGTCTGTATTGCTGTTGACAGACAAGTAACTGTTGAAATAGCAGAACCATGTTGGCAACCAACTTGTCATGTTGTTGGTGTTGTAAGAAAGCAGTGATGCATCCGGCCGGCACGCCCATGTCGCCAGGGGAGAGAGAGTTTAGCAGGAAGCAAACAAGTCAAGTTCTCATTCAGTCCAAGGCTAGAGCTGGTCTGCTGTTTATTCCCAGGCAATCACCAGGACAACAGTGATCACATTTCTAGAAACCTGTTGAGATTTTGAGTAGTGAGAACACACACAATTATAAGAGCATAATGTACTATAAAAATACAATAATATAATATTACACGAAGCTGACCAAGCTAATTGAACAAAGCCTGACCCGAGGTTTATAGTTAAAATTCAATGCCAAGCTGAACCTAACACATTTTCACTGACTCTCTGTAGACTAAAGAAACATTTCATGGCCTCTTTTCCATCCGGCCTAATTGAGTTTCTGAAGGACATACAGTCTTCCTTGCTGTCCCAGCTGTTTCAAATAGAACAGAATGTCCAAAAGTCAGCCAGTTACACAGCATTGCTAATCTGAATTCACGGAGGAGTACAAATGTTGTCCAAAAAAATCCCCTTTTTGTTACCTTTACACATACTAAATATATGGTTTTAATTAACTTTGGGATTTTTTAGTAAAATCACAAAAGACCTATTTATTCCCATTCTTCCTCCCCTGAAAGGAAAATCATAATTTTTCACTTTAGTTGAAGAGTTGATCTGCAACAGCTTTTTAAAGACGCAGCTGTTGTAAAGCGTGAGATGAGGGAGGCGAGGACATGTGGATAAGAGCTTTCCTCAGCCAAAGCCCTTTGTCATATTTGTCCGATGTAAACACGTGTGTGATGTAAATTCATATTTTGCTCCTGGAAGACATTTCTCTCACTGAATCTCTCTGCGATTTGTGTCTGCCTTGCTCACAGCAATTAATAGCTGTTAGCACTTCCTTTCTAGAGTTAGCTATTTCTGATTTAAGTCTTCTATAACGTAATTTCTAAAGCACATTATGCATAACTCCTGGTGCAACTCAAGATTGTAGGTGATGCATAAATGTGTTTATTTTAATGACTATCAAAGTAGATCACTAGAATATTATTTGTGTGATTTTATGGATATCTCTTAGGAATAATAGTAGCAACCATGGGGAAATTTGAAGATACTTTAACCCCACGACACTCCAATTATCTCATTTATAGCCACTCTTCTCCATGCTTTGGTAGGAAATTTTATGTAAACTGCTATGCAAATATACCTGTGTGCTTCCCGCAATATAAACTAATTCTTTAGGCTTCTCTTATATAGAGAGTGCAAGGTAAAATGTTAAGAACACAAAGAAGAAAATAGTAATATAAGTATATGAATAAATGTACCCTGAAGCTTAGAAATGCTACCTTACTGGATGGTACACCATTTGGGAGCACACAGTGTCTTTTCTGTGTCTGACTCCAGAAATACATGTTAAATACAGTGCATATTAAATTGATGTTAAAAACATTTTGAAAAATATTTTTCTAACTTCAACCTTTCTGGAATGCTAACAAAAATTTAATTGCTATTTTTCCAGTAATCCTTCAATA